TTTTCCGAAAAAGGTCCATTTTATCACAGGGATGAATGTCATCATGTCAACAGTGATGTATATAATGCTGGAAAATGTGATCAACCCATTCAGTTCTTTGTTGTAAAAGAATGCAAATGTTCTAATTGTTTTCCTAATTTCTATACTGAAGCAAAAGGAATGACAAATAATTCTGCAGATGCCACTAGGAGGCAATGTAGACCACATCTTGATGCAGTTAATACTGAGTATGTGGTCAGTGAAACCTACAAACAAAATGAAAACAATTCCAGGGCTGTACACAACAACTAATACTACAAATATATACTGTCATTATAGAATCGTATGCTTGGTTAGCTATTTTGAAACTGGTTAATCTATTGTTATAAGGATCTTTCTTTTTATTTAAAATTTGTCCTAGAAGGGTTAGTGCATTCACAGGTTAACACTGGTGTGTTCTCTCAATTGCTCTAGGAGTCAAGAATAACAGTTTCTAGTTTAACAGAATAACAGTTTAACAATTCCTTTTTGAGTGGTGTATTTTTAAAGTAGATAGTTTTTGTTTAGTGTATTTTTTATCTAGTATTGAAGAAATACTAAGTTGGTTTATCATGCTGGTGCTGTAAGTGTTCAGCACAGGGTTTTGTGCAACTAAAAATGGAAAAAAACTGTGCACTGCAACCCTGATATTAAAGTAGAACTAACATAATAACTAATAGTATAACTTTTTTTTTCATTTTGGATGGCGTAAGGGAAGGTTATAATCCCTGTTAGGTTTTGTTTTGCCATCCGTGTCCCATTGGGGAGATTTCCCTTCGCTTCCAGATCCATAGCCAAAACAGGAAGTGAGAGGAAATCCCTCCAAAGTGAAGTGAGGGAATCTCTTGTTTTCACCAGGGTCATCAGAACTAATGTATCCATTGAAATATTTTTTCCTCTATTACTGTTCTGGGGACAACCCAAAATTTGGAATTTTTACTTTTACATTCACTCTCAGTGATCATGGCAAAAAGACAAATCATGAGGGTGAATCTCCCTAATGGGGGCACTTACAGCAATATACACCCGTCAGGTGTTCTGATCCCTCTCTACTCTCTACCTTTTATAGTTATACTTCAATTGAACTGTCAATAGCATGTAATGTCCCTCTTACACAAACTCTAAAAATAACTTTCCAACACTTAATCTAACCATAAAACTTAACCTGACACTACCACTGAACCTGTAAAGCACAAGTAAAAACCCCCTGGGGGTATATATGGGTTCCCCTCCATTATGCTGGGACATAGACTTCAGATATACTGTAGTGCAAACCTGGTCCCCACTGCCCGACCCAGACAGTTCTTTTATTCATTTCTACAGCAGCTGTAATTGCACCTTGAGCAAACTGAGGTCTGGCACTCAAAAGTCGGCATTGAAGCTTGCTACCAAACCTACCCATTTTCATATTCGCATATAACTATGCAGAAAGGAATGTGTTGGAAGAAATGAGTAACTTAACAAAGCTCTCAAACACAGCAATCAGGTGAGGCAGAGAATACCAAAAGCTGCTACAGGTATGCGCATTCACCTGTGGGTGCCTGCACTTCATGTCTGTAGGCAGCCTTTAGTATTCTTAAACTGACTAGAGTCTTATTAAACCTGTCAGTGACCTAACTTATTCTATGTTGTTTTATGTTACTGCTTGAGGTCTTGTATTTAAACAAGAGATGATTATGTTCTTTAAGCAGTGCTGCATTATTTGAAGCTGAACTCCAGCCATGTGGAAAAAACCCCATAATGCCCCTGCCACCCTATTTCCCATGCCCTGGCCACTCATGGTAATACTTGCAGTCCTGGGATTTTTTAACCCTGGTGGTTCCTGTTGCAATGACTGATCCATTGAATGCTTGCCAATGTCCCTTTTTTGTCAAGGTAGTCATGTGTGCACCGTAATCAGTTCAAGAACAGTGTCCATGTCGTCAGGATGGAACATAAGTAATGTTTGAAGAGCTTGTCCACATTCCATCAGAAGATCACAGTTAAAAGTAAATATTACTATGTGCTTGAAAGTGTCTTTACAAAAAATGCTGTAGACTAATTGAAATGTGTGCATGTGTGTTTTGGGGGCAGTTACCTTTTTTTTTTTTTTAATTACATGGCTGAAGCTTTAAAGCAGGCAATGTAAATGTTCAATATGGTTCTGTTAACATTAACATTGTTTTGTTTTATTACTTGTTATTTTAATGTTTTACTTTACAATAAAATTAAACTATAGCTTAATTTTAGTGTTCCATATTCATTCAAACATCTTGTTATTACAATTGACTGACCCACCTCATGTTGGAGTAAACACTGTTTGAAATGGTTGCAAAGCATACACTGATGCTATCATTGGCCAACAGAGAATGATCATATATGTGTTCTCCACAAAAAAGGCTTAAAACGTTCTCACAGAATTAAATTAATTTCTAGACACCAAATAAAATGGTTAAAGTTAGTCAAAACCTAAAGTATTTGTGTGTATTGTGTGAATAATAAAATTAATATGATTTAAACTTTTTGTTAAAGTAATCTGCCATCACAAAAAGATTGATTGAACACTAAGTAAATTATGCAGGCCATACATGGGTCGAATTCTGAAGAATTTTCTTTAGAAAATCGGATTTTTCGTGTTTTGCAATCCGATTTTGTAATGTGTGCCACCACTGATTTCGAAATTCAAGCCTTCAATTTCACCTGATGTTACTACAGAAAAGAATTTTCGTGGCCAAGTATTTTCTTTTCTTTCCAGGTCACAACTCAGGCTTATTTCTTTTTCATTTATATTTCTCGCAGGATTCTCCCATCCTTGATTTGAAATTCATTAGTTTTTTAAAAAATTTCCAACATGCCTGATCACTCAGATTCGATGGTTTCTAAGAATTTTCGGTCGATTTTCGCACCATTAGTGGGCCACAGAAAAGGACGATTTTCGCGTAAAGATTTTCGAAAGAAAATACTTTTGGAATTCAACCCTTGTATGGCCAGCTTTAGCATGTTTATTTTGTACATTCCAAGGCTTTTTGGACACTGAACTGAAATAGAGTCACAAATGTTATTGTTCATAGGTTTACTTTTTAATGTTTACGGTACGCTCAACAAACAATAAGGCTCCATGCCTTTTGAGCTCCTAGAAGCTAAATAGTGTTATCCTATGTGTCCGTGCACACTATTTTAGACTTTTAGTGTTTTTCAAGCTTCACCATTCGAGACAAGAAAATTAATTGTTTTTTGTAGAGTTTTTGGGAGCTTTTTTCCAGCAGAAAAAAAAAAACGCTAAATGTTCCTGAATGCTACTAAAATGCTCCTAACAGCTTTTTCATAGCTTTTTTTTTTTCCCCCTACATGTACTGTAAAAACGCTAATAAAACACTAATGCTCCTAAACGCTTCTAAAAAACACTATTACCAGCATTTTTATCCAGCGTGTTTTGAGCTTTAAAAAATGCTAGTGTGCATAGAGCCTTAAAAGAGAAATGCTGTTTTTTTTTTTTTTTTTTTTTTTTCCTATGCTTGTTTCAGCAAAGGCAATAAAAAGTAGAAATGCAAAATATACAATGCTTCTTTGTTTTTTTTTTTAACTCCTCAAAACTTTTATCAAGACAGAGAATTATAAAAAATGATTTTTTTTTCAAATTATTAGTTATTATTATTATACAGGATTTATATAGCGCCAACAGTTTGTTACCAGTACATATTGTCACCATTAGATGTCACCCTGCATCATGATTCTAAATTGATGCAGATTATCCTTATCTCTATCTATCAGTTTACTGTATAATAGTTCTGTATTAGCCTTATGATTAATTTGCATCTAAATATATACATGTTTGGGCACATATAATACTTTTTTTGGTCTAATTTTATATGGTACAAGTGTGTGTGTGACACGTTTTTTAAATTTGACAGCTAGCGAGGGGGGAGACGATCCACCACTAGCTGTGAAAGCAGGGATCGGGACTGGGCTGATTGTAACATCTTACACCCTGAATATGGGTGTAACATATTACGAAAGTTGAACTTACCCTTTAAGAGGAAGGGACAAGTTCTCCTGCTTATGCTGTTGTGGGATATTTTGGATCTTTACCTTAAGCACTTGCTTACCAGCCAGACTTACCTTTTGAATAGGAAATTAGTTTCCTATTATTATGGAATATTGTCCATCCCTAGCTTCTTTGAAAGTTGTAAATCTGCCTCTGGAAAAGTTACATATGAGGAATGTGTCAGACTGTAAATATTAAATATATTTTTCAGAGATAAATCTAAAAAAAATAGGAATAATAACATTAAGACTAGGAAAGATAATGTAGAATATTTCACTCCTATTAAATGGTTTAAGATTTGTACAACCTCAATTCCAAAAACGTTGGGAAGCTGTGTAAAATCTGCATAAAAACCGAATGAGATGATTTGCAAATCTTATATGCTTCATTTATTCACAATGGAAAAAATATGAAATGTTTAAACTGGGAAAAATATTGCATTTTAAGGAAAAAAAAAAACAAGGTCATCTTGAAAATGTTGGCAGCAACATGTCTCAAAAAAGTTGGAATAGAGCCATGTTTACCATAATGTAGCATCCCTCTTATTTTAACCACTTGCCCTCCATTTACCATCCTTCCTCACCAGGCCATTTTTTGCGTTACGGCGCTGTTACTTTACCTGACAATTGTGCGGTCATGCAACATTGCACCCAATTGAAATTTACAACCTTTTCTCCCCACAAATATAACTTTCTTTCAGTGGTATTTGCTCGTCTGTGTGCTTTTTATTTTTTGCGCTATAAACAAAAAAAGACAGTCAAAAATATTTTTTTTTTTTTCACAAAATAGTTGTTTTGCTATTAAACATGTCCAATAAAAAATGTTTAAAAAATCAAATTTCATCATAAATTTAAGCCAAAATGTATTCTGCTACATGTCTTTGCTAAAAAAAAAAATCCCAATACGTGTAAATTGATTGGTTTATGTGAGAGTTATAGCGGTGATGGTGATCAGCAACTTATAGCAGGACTGAGGCGGGCATTCTGACACTGGGGGGAATTGCCTTGGTGTCACTGACATGCCCAGTGACACCAATACAGTGATCAGTGCTAACAAAAAGCACTGACACTGTACTAATGGCACTGAGCAAGAAGGGGCTAACATCTGGGGCAATCAAAGGGTTAACTGTGCGCTGCTTTATTGTGTGCTTTGTATGGCCCTGCTATGAGCCATACAAAGCAATATGCCGGAGCTATTGTTTCATACAGGTCTCTCCCCATCAGTAATGCACGGTGATCGCCGGGTGCCAGCGGAGAATCACCGCCAGGACCCGGTGATCGACAAGTGATGCCGCCAATGGCGGTGCGGGTAGGGTGTGCTCCCTACCAGGTAATGCAAAATCACGTATATATACACGTGATTTTGCGCACCCCAGCCGCCCTGTAGCAGTATGTCTGCTATAGGGTGGTGGGAAAGCAATTAAGTAAGGTTTGTATATTTGTTTTTAGTTAATAAAATGATTATAATGGGGAAGGTCGGATACTATGGGTGAATGAGATATGAATACAGATACTGTATGTAATTGCTTGTATATAGTGTTGATAGATAGATTTACTATCAATTTTATGTACACATATTTGTTTATGGGAGTTATTCTACACCAGATTATGAGAGGGTACACAGTAATATGATAAAGGGTAGTCTCAGGGCTGGTTTACACCAGCGGCTGGTGCAGTGTGATCTGGCTGACAGCACAGTAAATAAATGCTGAGCTTGGCGGATTGCACTGTTTCCTTTTTTTTTTTATGTTATGTCCCCCCCCCCCCCCCCTGCAAGCCTTAAACAGCCCATAGACAATTCAGCTTTATTCATTCAACCAGCAGGTTGAATGTAAAAAAATTGATCCGATTCCCAGGAGGTAATCACTCCCACTGAGCTATTGTGTTCTCATGACAAGGAGACTGCCTCATTATCAGAATACACTGATCAGCACTGCCAGCTATAGTTGGTGGAGCTCATCAAACGGCATTTATCCAGAAGTTGATCGGTCCCCATACATGGAATGAAATTTGGCTGGTCCCTGCTGAATTGGCCAAATTTTGATCCATGCATGGCCTCTATGATTAACCACTTGCTTACTGGGCACTTATACCCCCTTCCTGTCCAGGCCAATTTTCAGCTTTCAGCACTGTCACACTTTAATTGCGTGGTCATGCAACATTGTACCCATATTGCATTATAATTTTTTTCACACACAAAATAGAGCTTTCTTTTGGTGGTATTTACTCACCACTGGGTGTTTTTATTTTTTGCGCTATAAACAAAACAGCAAAAAATTTGAAAAAAAAAAAAGTTTTTCTTTGTTTCTATTATAAAATTTTGCAAACAGATAATTTTATTCCTTCACTGATGGACACTGATGAGGCTGCACTGATAGGCGACACGATGAGGTGGCACGGATAGGAAGCACTGATGGGCACTGATAGGCGGCACTGACTGACAGCACTGTTTGGAGGCACTGCTGGGTGGCACCATTAGGCACTGCTGGGCACTGATCTTCAGAGCCAATCTGTTTTCTGACAATTGCTGGTTATTGGCAGGAAAGTGGAGCCGATAACTGGCAACTGCATTTACTTGGTGTCTGCTGTGTCATTGGACACAGCTGATCACATGGTAAAAGGCCGCTGTGATTGGCCTTTTACCACATCACGTGATCAGCTGTGGCCGCAGGACACAGGTGCGCGCCGCTAGGGGCATGCGGGAGGGCGTCATATGATGCCCTCCGAGAACTGGGCAACCGCGTTGTAGCCGTCATTCGGCTATAGTGCGGTTAGTAAGTGGTTAAGCTCTCAATAGAGTGATACATATCAGAAAGCAGGGGAGTAGGTGGAACAGCCTATGTACTGCAATGCTTAACCACTTCCCATCCACCCTATAACAGAAATACTGCTACAGGCGCCACGGGTGCGCAAAATCACATATATATACGTGATTTTGCATTTCCAAATAGGGGGCGCGTGCGAGCCACCCTACCTGTGCCGCCGTTCATGGCTGTCAATCACCAAGTCTCACCCGGTGATTTACGAAGATCTCTGACGGGGAGGAGGACTGTTTTGTTTACTAACAGTCCTCCTTCCTGTTAGCTCGGGCACACTGTTCTGGATGGCTGTGCACAGAACAGCCATCCAGAGCAGTGTGATTTTAGACATGACCCCCTAGTAAAACACTCTCTGCACACAGTTAACCCTTTGATCGCCCCTCAGGTTAACCCATTCCTGCCCAGTGCCATTAGTACAGTGTCAGTGCATTTTTTTTTTTTATCACTGTATTGGTGTCACTGGAGATGTCAGTGACACTGAGTCAGTTCCTCCCAGTATCAGAATGTCCGCCGCAGTCCTGCTATAAGTCACTGATCGCCACCATTACACGTAAAAAAAAAAAAAAAAAAAAAATACCCAACAAGAAAACAGTATATATAACTTTCATGTAAACCAAATAATTTACACATATTGGGATTATTTTTTAGCAAAGACATGTAGCAGAATACATTTTGCTGTAAATTTATGAAAAAATAGATTTTTTAAAATTTGTTTACTAGACATGTTTAATAGCAAAAAGTAAAAAATAGTTTTTTTTTTTTCCTCAAAATTGTCAGTCTTTTTTCTTTTATAGCATGATCAAATACCACCGACAGAAAGCTCAATTTGTGGGGAACAAAGGGACATAAATTTCATCTGGGTGCAGCGTTGAATGACTGCGCAGTTGTCAGTTAAAATAATGCAGCGCTGTAACGCAAAAAATGGCCTGGTCAGGAAGGGGGTAAATCCTCAGGAGGGCAAGTGGATAATACAGTTTTTTGCAAAACCTTTATAATGTTTTTATATATATATATATATATATATATATATATATATATATATATATATATATATATAAATGGTGTGTTAAAAATAATAGCAGTCAGACATCACTAGCCTGATTAATCACTCTTTTTGGTTGAAATTATATTTCTACATGCCAAATAATTTACTAGGAGGTGTAGTAGAGTAATAGAAATCCAACAGTCATGACATGCATGCTGCTGATTCTGTGTAATTGAATTGCTAATTGAAAGGGGTATGTTCAAAATAATAGCAATGTGCTCTATTAGTGAGGTCATTCATTCTTTGAAAAACAGGTGGCAATTATTGCCCTTATATAGTGAATGTTTGAGTTTGTAAAGAAGAATACAAACGCTGCAATTTTTTTGAACAGTCTAATATTCACACTTTTCTTCAATTTTTTTAGAGGAACACCACAAATTTGATACATTTTTCTTCATGTTTTGATTTGGAATAGAATGTGTAGTGTTCCCAATGCATTTGTGTGTATGGAAATAAAAGCTATTAGAAGGATTTTGAGCTTTATTCACTTTTTTCAACACACTGCTATTATTTTGAACACAACTGTATATGGAGTATAGGTGCAATCAGTATGTTCCATAATTCACCATGTGGGCAAGAGGGAAGCAGAAAGGACACCAATAGTGTAATACTGTTGGGCTAATTTATTTAAATAATACAGCGATACATACAGGTGAAACTCGAAAAATTTGAATATTGTACAAAAGTTAATTTATTTCAGTAATGCAACTTAAAAGGTGAAACTAATATATGAGACTCATTACATGCAAAGCAAGATAGTTCAAGCCGTGATTTGTCATAATTGTGATGATTATGCCTTACAGCTCATGAAAAACCCAAATCCACAATCTCAGAAAATTAGAATATTGTGAAAAGGTGCAATATTCTAGGCTCAAAGTGTCCCACTCTAATCAGCTAATTAAGCCATAACACCTGCAAAGGGTTCCTGAGCCTTTAAATGGTCTCTCAGTCCGGTTCAGTAGGAATCACAATCATGGGAAAGACTGCTGACCTGACAGTTGTGCAGAAAACCATCATTGACACCCTCCATAAGGAGGGAAAGCCTCAAAATTTATTGAAAAAGAAGTTGGATGTTCCCAAAGTGCTGTATCAAAGCAAATTAATAGAAAGTTATGTGGAAGGGAAAAGTGTGGAAGAAAAAGGTGCACAAGCAGCAGGGATGACTGCAGCCTGGAGAGGATTGTCAGGAAAAGGCCATTCAAAAGTGTTGGGGACTTTCACTAGGAGTGGACTGAGGCTGGAGTCAGTGCATCAAGAGCCACCACACACAGACGGATCCTGGACATGGGCTTCAAATGTCGTATTCCTCTTGTCAAGCCACTCCTGAACAACAAACAACGTCAGAAGCATCTTACCTGTGCTAAAGAAAAACAGACCTGGTCTGTTGCTTAGTGGTCCAAAATCCTCTTTTCTGATGAGAGCAACTTGCATCTCATTTGGAAACCAAGGACCCAGAGTATGGAGGAAGAATGGAGAGGCACACACTGCAAGATGCTTGAAGTCCAGTGTGAAGTTTCCACAGTCTGTGTTGATTTGGGGAGGCATGTCATCTGCTGGTATTGGTCCACTGTGCTTCATTAAGTCCAGGGTCAACGCAGTCGTCTACCAGGAGATTTTGGAGCACTTCATGCTTCCTTACGCAAACAAGCTTTATGGGGATGCTGACTTCATTTTCCAGCAGGACTTGGCACCTGCCCACACTACCAAAAGCACCAAAACCTGGTTCAATGACCGTGGGATGACTGTGCTTGATTGGCCAGCAAACTCTCCTGACCTGAACCCCATAGAGAATCTATGGGGCATTGCCAAGAGAAAGATGAGAGACATGAGACTGAACAATGTAGAAGAGCTGAAGGCCGCTATTGAAGCATCCTGGCCTTCCATAACACCTCAGCAGTGCCACAGGCTGATGGCTTTCATGCCACGCCGTATTGAGGCAGTAATTGCTGCAAAAGGGGCCCAAACCAAGTACTGAGTACATATGCATGCTTATACCTTTCAGAGGTCCAATATTGTTCTATGTACAATCCTTATTTTATTGATTGCATGTAATATTCTAATTTTCTGAGATTGTGGATTTGGGGTTTTCATGAGCTGTAAGCCATAATCATCACAATTATGACAAATCATCTTGCTTTGCATGTAATGAGCCGATCTCATATATTAGTTTCACCTTTTAAGTTGCATTACTGAAATAAATGAACTTTTGCACAATATTCAAATTTTTCGAGTTTTCACCTGTATTACATTCACATTAAATCAGCAATACATGAGCCTTTAGATAATAATTCTTGCATAGCCTCCAAAGGTAATACAGCGCTAATCAAGATGGCTCCGGAGCAGTGCTATTCGTGTGAACTCCTTTCACTGGACATGACGTCACACAGAACTAACGGTACCTGAAATTGCGTCGTGTTTTGCCCCTCCTCCAGGGCATTCTCACAGACTGTAATCTCCGGTCCCTGCATGCTAAATATACCCTACGCACGCACCTCCACTCTTAGTGACTCACTTCCTGTTGGATGTACTAGCTTCAAACTACTGGTAATGGATACTACTCCCAACCATACCGATCATGTGACACACAATCTAATACTTTAAAATCTATGCAGATAAAATAAAATATAAGGATCGCCTCAGAACCATAATCCAGATAAGATAAAGGGAACTATATTCAGAGTGGGACAGGGCACAAACTATGGTAATTCCCACATCGAACCCTAAAAAATCATAGGGTTCAGATGCAAGAAAGTAAACCAAACCAGCATTCTAAAAATATATATATTAAAATAAAGGAGACCTAATTTTACCAGTTGGAAAGTAAACCATTCAGATCTACTTCTACATTTAACCCCTTGGGGACTAAAGTGTCCAATTTTAGGATTCATCTTGTTTCATTCTGTGATATTGATTTTCTTTTTTAGATCATCCCCTCGTCGGGCTCCACCTTATCAATCCCACAAAACTTCAAAAGTATAGGGTCTCTATTGTGAACATTTCTGAAATGATAAGATAATCTATGATGTCTAAAACCCTTTTTGATGTTTCTAATGTGTTCACTCAAACGTACAGCAAGTTTTCTGGTAGTTCTCCCTACATATTGCAATTTGCAAGGACATTCTAAAAGGTAAGTCACATGAGTACTCACACAAAATAAATTTCATGATCTTATAGGTCTCTCCTTTACTATAAGATTGGAAACTATCCATTTTCTTAATTTTGCTCCCCACTGTCCTACAAGCTAAACACCTGCCTTATCTGAAAAAAACCTATTTGGTCTAGAAAGGATGGTTTTGTATAAATTAATCTTGGTGTTTTAGGCAAAATTCCTTTGAGGATATCATCCTGCAAAAGGATTGGCCAATGCTTCCTAAACATTTCCTCAATCAGCCTATATTGTTTAGAATACCCCGTGATAAACACTACTCCATAGTCTTCTACTTACTTTTCTCTAGTTTTTAATAATTCTTCTCTATCCATTTCCTTTACCAAATTTTTTTATTTTTATAAGATCTTTATTTTTACATCCTTTTTCTTCAAATCGTTGTATATCTGTTTGTTCCTCATAGTCTAATCTCATCACAATTCTGTTTGATTCTCATAAACTGACTCTTAGGGATCATATTTAGCCATCTAGGATGGTGGCAGCTATGTTTGGGAATGTATCCATTCCTATTCACATCCCTAAAGTGTGTACGAGTAAAAAAACTTATTTTCTATATGTAGTAAGATCCAAAAAAATGTATGGACTCCCCATCAATATTTTTGGAAAAAGAAATGTTATACTTATTCTTACCCATTTCTTTAATAAACTCCACACAGGGGATTCCTGAGATCCTTCCCATATAATACAAATATCATCAATATATCTTTAACTCTGATCTCTTTTTTTCCCATATATCGACTCATCTTCCCATTTGCTCATAAAGATGTTGGCTACTTAGGTGCAGAAAAAATTATGACCCATGGCTAGATCTAAGATCTGTTTTAAGAAATCTTTTTGTTATGTTTATTCTTCAAATTAGTACTTTTTTTGTAGAGCCCACACCACAGCATCTAATGCATCATCATATCTAATATTAGTGTACAGAGAGTTTACATCCACACTTGCCAGAATGCAGTTATCCTTAATATCCACATCTCTTAGTATGTTAATAAGATCCTTACTGTCCTTAAGGTAAGCGGGAAATTTGTGGGCCTAAG